TACTACAATTCCTGTTGTGTAATGACTGCGTGGTAAACAAATTGTATCTTTATTAAGATTGTGTAAAATGTTTCTGTAAATTATTATTTATTTATACATATAATATTACTTACTCATACTTACGTTCTCGTTTAACACCCAATAGATATCATTTCCCCAGAGTATATACAAATTACAAAATACGAATACGAATAAATACGAATGTGTCATATTCACAAAATATTCATGACCCGAACAACATTTTACAGTTTACTTATGTATTTTATCTTTCAGACCAGCTAGAACATTATTCGGTACACATCCCTCATTTAATGAGAGTAATAAAACAGGCCGCACCAATATACACAGTTTTATTATAGAGAATGCTTGGATATTCACTCTTTAATGAAAAACACGGAATTCACATCACCGATAGTAAAGTGATTACAATTTGATATTTAGATATAACGTTAATATTTAATCAAATGATTTTTTTTCAAGCAGTCCCCGTGACAAGTATTTTTACAGATAATATACTATTATAATACTACTTGGACACATCTACCGTATATATAGAGAAATAAAAACTTAAGCTCTATACTAGTCGTTAGTCAATCCTAACAGTTGGCCATCAAAAAGTAAATAAAACTTTTATATTTACTCTTAAAAGAAGGACCATAAATGTTGTTGTTTACAGAAGTTGAGATGCTTTTATTGGGCGTTAGTGGCTATGGGTGCAGCCGTTATGTTCTCAGGAGAATTGCTTTACCGCGACACTCCTCTTGATTCACTGGGCATTTAACTTGCATATGTAGCTTATTCGAAACCACTAGTCGTATTAATAATGGCTATGCTTATTGCTATGACATTATTTAAAGTACACAGTATGTTTGCCTAAGCAATATAAATTTATTAATAAACTACAATACTAATATGATGGTATTAAAATATACAAGAATAAGATTTAATAAGAAAATGGTTTTCACCCTTTAATAACAACATTTTAGAGTTTTGACATCTGGAGAATCCCAAACCGGATTATTTAGTGTTTATATCTCAAACGTTTTCACAAAAAGGCTGAACATGAGCGTATCTTCTTTATCTTCTTTACTTTGGTTTTCTTAAACCAAAATGGTATTTATGTATTGACTAATTTTAGATGATAAAAATTTTATATTATTAAGTCACTTGTTGTTAAAAATATAATTAAAAACATGTTAAAAATAATAACAAGTTTTTGTTTTAGATCATTTTTAGCTATAACAACTTTAGAGGGATTTTTATTTACTGTTCAAGTGCGGTTAATGGCGGGGAAGCTGTTTAATAAGGTTTTCGAAGTCATCTTTAACACAACCAACGGAAGAAATACATCTAAAATTAATGTAAGAAAAAATAAAATATATATTTTTAAAATTTGTAATTTATATTAGTTAGTGAATACTGGAAAGGACCTTCTTTAAGCTGAAAGTGCTTCCGTTGCTAGTCAAAACAGTTAAACAGTTAAAGTTTCAAAACCTTTTTTATTATGAAAATCAATTTAACATAATATTCTTGATATCTCATCAAAGATATAAAACACATCTATTTGTTTATTTCTTAAAATTTTACTTAACTTAATCATGTAATTTTGAATAATAGTGATTACACTTTTATAATGCATTAAACTCATGATGTGATATCACTCTTTATTACAGAAATAAAAACGAATGGCTAGAAGTTAAAAATGTTAAGTATTAGACATTCAAGAAGTCATATGTCATATGGATGTGGTTTTTGTTTACCTTAGTGATACACCAAAAAGATTAGCTAGTAAAACTATTTAAATATAATTCATAAAAACAAAATATTTACTTTTTATATCGAAAATTATTTGAAGTTTGTAAAATAAAGAAGTGTTTTGGCCGTTAGACTTAAGCTGAGCTTTGCATTTGTGGGAGTGAAAGTAAAAGTAGAGTTAGACGAAAAAAAAATAGAATTCAATTTTATTATATTTTAAAAAGATACATAACATAATTGCTAGATCTATTCTTGATTAAAAATGAAATAAGCAATACTTGTAAAAGGCCAAATGGAAATATTATGGAAAAAAAATTCGGGGCGGAGTAAAAGCAGTGAAAACCGGTTTAAAACTTTAAAAAAAAGTGGCATTCAAAAATTTGACATCACCCCTACACTATCCGTGTGCACTCATACAAATGTAAAGCTCAGCTTAAATTAAACGCACTATAAGTAACATTTTTTTAAAAAGTGACTATTTCGTATGAATATTTTGTGTCTCAATTTTCTGGTAAGTAATTTATTAGTTTTAAACTTTTCATTCAATCGAATATTATATTTTAAGTAACTTTTTAGGAATCTATTCATAACGGCTGACATTAACAGAGCAATTGATAATTATTTTTCAATTTTACAAACATTATGTTTGTTCTGTGTGTTACATAGAAGTAAATTAAATTTATTTACAGCAAAAATAAAGAGAAACACAGAAAAGCGAATGAAAGAAATCAAAATAACAAAACAAAAATCAACTTAAACACTCACAGTGACTTGTTTATGCCTCCATTAATTACATACTACGTTTGATTACCTAATTAATGAAATTTTTGTAAGAATCAAAAAGACTTAAAATATAAATTAAACCAATTACAAATGAATTTTGGGTAAACACGTATTTTTATGTTAAGTGTTAATTGAAAGTATCTTCATTAAAATAATTGGTCTGTAACGTTTATTTCAGTAATCCAAATTTAACAATGTCAATTATGCTACATTCTTTTAACTTTTTATTAATTAAATTTATGATTTAAGAAAGACGGTGACGAGCTTTTATTAATTTTATTTAAATATATAATTATTATTATAGATATTCTTATTGACAAATGTTCAAATTGTATGTTAATTTTCATATCTCCACAAAAAATAATCTATTAATTTGGCATTTAGAAACAAACTGTAATATGTTCTAATATCTTCAATTTTTTATATATATAGCATGAAAGTTTGAAATAAGTTTCTTAAATTTTGATGTTCACTATACATAATAATCGTTTATAGTCGAGGATCTATGTACAATTCAAAATTTTTTGTTTCATTCACGGAAATAAGAATGCTTTCGATGGTATTGAACATGAGATTCGTTGATATGTATTCACATAAATTGGTATAGTGACAGATCTTTCGACTATCACAGTATGAAGACGCGTTACTCAATAAATGCACAAGAGTATGTATCACCAAAGAAATTATTTAAAAAATGTTCTATATATCAACGCTTACATTATGGACTACGAGTAATTGAAGTAGGTTTGTGTCCATTTATTTGTCTTACACAAAGTAGTGAAGTATACAAAGAGTAGAGAAATATCAATTCAAGTCACATAATTGAGGTTGTTGTACATTATTCGGTTCCCTAGAGATTAAATGACCAAGAGGCCAAACGAGAGTGGTGCTGGTAGTTAATACTTATATCATACAAAATTCCCGCCTGTTTTAAATGTAAACATCCAAAAAAAAACATTAAAATTTTTGAATAAAAAGAAGAAAATTTGATCACAATAGGATTACTCTATTATATCGTAACTTAAATAATCATAAATTATTATAAACAGTGTCCGCAGAACATGAAAAGTTCAGTTCCTAATTGATAATCGTTTCCATTAAACTAATTTTGGCTCCGAACGCTGGGAATTTATGAAGCCGCAAAAACGATTCAATAGATTCATATAAAATTGATTTGTATTTATTACCAGGTTCAGGAATATATTTTGAAAAAATAATATTTACATTCCTAACTGTTAGATACTAATGTTTTAATTTAAATAAAAAAATAAATTTAACGTAAATTAATAATGAATCATATGTTGATTCCTGCAAAAGGAAACATAACGTCGGGACAGTGTGGTCCTTGAAATAATAAAAACTGTATAAAGTCCTGGATTTTGACCGATATAACTTATTAACGTAAATATATTTGAATTATTTGTATATGTATTATTATTTGTATTTGTTAAAGAAAAATTCTCTATGCCTGATTTTTATATTAGCCTGATATTTATTTGAAAATTTAAATACCATTTAAATGTGTACTAGCGAAAATCCTAGATACCATTACATTTTGATGAAAGGAAATTTGGTAATGGTTTGAATTGGGTTTTTGAATTTTATTTTTTTTTTGTGATAAATGGAAAGATCATATATAAGTTTTATAACAAAGCTATTTTTATTTAATTTTTTTTTTGCAATAATTAAAAAGTTATTTCAAAATAAAAATTAAATTTTAAATTCAGTACCGAAGATCCGCCGACAGCTCCCGAATAAACCCGAGCGCGTGTAACGTCACAATGTTAGTTTTCGCTCATTGTAGCATACAGAGATATAATAATTAGTACAGTGTTTTGAGTTTTTATCTAGTAAATTCTGTTGGCATTGTTAAATAATCAAAAATGTCAAAACTCAAAAGTTATCGCTCTTGTTTTGTACCATTATGTACAAATACTACAAAAACAACTCCCGAAAAAATGTTTTTAAATGTTCCACAAGACGAAAAACGTAGAAAGAAATGGTTTCAAGCAGTGCACCGAGATTATTCAAAAACAAAATAATTTTTTTTTTGTTGTGAAGATCATTTCGATGTAAGTATTCATAATAATATTGTTATTAATTATTATTTATCTAAGTGTATAAATCGGTAATTAGTGTATAAAAAGTATAGTTCAGTAATTAATTTTTTTACCTGGTCTCCAAATCATAACCTTCAGAATCGTAGCATTAAAAATTTTTTAATTGATAATTCAAAGCGATTAAATAGTAAATCTATATGTATGTTTGTCTAATAATTGGAATTCAATTAATAGATATTTTCATAATTTTATAACATTCTAGGTTCTGTATCAGACTACATTTAAATTTTTAAAGTATATGTTATTTTGGTTTTTTATAATGTTATAATAACATTTTATTAATTCTTATGATTTTTTTTCTAGCTAAAAGATGATATGGAAAATTATATTCATTATACCACTATGGGAGGTAAAGCAAAGATTGAATGTCAACCCAATTGTAAACGACAAGGCACTTCAATGACTCTTATTAGATCAGCTGCAGAAAAAAGACGGAGACGACAAATCATTGAAGAAATTTTAAGTGAATCGTTAGAAAATAATGAAACGGGTAATGCTCAAGAACCAAATATTGATGCCGTATCAGTTAACACTGTTGAACATATTGACATTGATTCTGCTCCTGTAAATTTAACACCTGACCAAAAAGTTAGTGTTGAAACACAAACTGATATTAAAAACCGTACCGTTGCTGTACAAGTGAATAATCGTCCTAAGTATCGTAGTGTGGCAGTTCAATGTAAAATTTTATCAACTGGAGTTGATAAATCCTGCTCACCACTGCGTCAAAAATCAATTTCAAATTTACTCGATGCCCAGAAAAGTTTGTCATTAAGTAGTTTTACACATTCAAATAGTTCACAAGAAATTTATGAACCTTCCGAAAATACTGGCTCAAGTACTATGGATTCTGGCAGCTGTCAATCTCCTGTAAAAAAAGCTGAAATTTTGAAAGTCACAAATTACTTAATTAACGACAATTTAAAGGCGTATACAGGAGTTCCTCAAGAATGGAATGTTATTGTATGTGTTATGTGTACCTTGATGCCTTAGCACCTCGAACTTCAGCAGAACTAAACCGAACGTCATTTTTTTTTTAAATTAGTTATAATAAATATATCAACATCAGGAATATTATCCGATTTTGCTTTTATAAATCCTTTATCACACTTAGTTAGTCAAAGTAAACTTTTCAAATCGTTTTTCACTAATAAATTTGAGATATTTTTATCAAGTCAAAGATAATAGCCATAAACACTGTACTATGTATTATGAAATTGCTTTAACATTATGACGTCACAAGTATGGCGACCAATCATATCGCTTACAGTCACGTGATTTTTTTTTGAATTTTATCAATTTTTAATTGTTTATAATTAATAATTTTTTTTTCAAGTTTTTTGCATTAAAAATCAATATAATTACCTAATAATAAAGTTTTAAAATACATAAAAAAAATCAATACTTTTTTTTCAAAAGCCCAATTATATTTATTGTCCTTTCCTTTGAACTTGGAAAATTGTAAATATAATAATATTTTGTTATCCATTTTTTTATTGCACGAGAAGGCTATTTTATACAAAAGGGTTAAAAAAAAAGCAATAGAAAATTAAATTGTATTCTAGCTTCCCACAGCTGTAGCCTACAGAGTAGGTGGCATCGTGTTAAAATAGTTACCTCACTAGATAACTGTGAGACAATATTTAAATTGAGAAAGTTCGGAGAAAAAACTACGAGCACGAAAGCTTTTAAATATTTTTAGATTTTCGCGAAAGTTTATTTTACATTTAAAGGCGCAATTTAAAAATATAAAAAAAAACATTCGCAGCATGCTATTTTTTACAACAAATATTGATGTTTAGTTTCAGTAATATATTTTCGCTAACTAATGAATTTTAACAAAATATATTACTACATTATATTTGAAATTAAAGTAATTTAGCCATATTCAAAGTTTTATGAGCTATTGTTTTAATAAAAATTCCAGTGGAAATATAGTCTGAAAGATACAATGAATTTAATGTCACTGATTTAAGTATATTGAAATGAGAAAATTTTATATATGACAGATTAATACTAGGAAATACGAATAACTATACAGAGGGAACATTTTGATAATATTGCACAGTAAAATATTCATAATGAAATAACTTTATTTATACAACTTTACTATAATAGAGGAAGAAATTTTAACGTTTTGTATTGGAAGTAACAGCTAAAATAACCATAATGTTCTGAAATAATATATAATAATTTATTCATTTAATAAGACTATGTTTACAAGATTAACTTTGCATATATTATAATTCCATAGATTTATTCTGTGTCAAATCGTCTGCCTATGATCACGTTTGATAGTTAATTAATGAAAACTAATTAATGAAAAATAAAAAAGTACAAATACTAAATCCGAAAAGTGCTGTTTCATCTTAACTTAACTTTCTTTGTTTTTGAAATTTGTAGGAATAATTAGATTACCATTAAATACTGACAGTTTATAAGCATTTATAAACACGATTACGTAACCAGGGTCAGGTTGTTAGTTGAGGTTTGAACTGCAGACCACATTGATGCCTGAAAACTTCTTACAGTTTTCAGGCATCCATTTACTATCTTACGGTTCTCTCCGTCAGGTTTTTTCATACTGTTTCCAATAGACACTCTGTTAGCGGGGTATTACACAGTGTTGACGAGGTAACCCATCTTGGGAAGACAGAGCATTCACTGGGTTCCCTGCTAACAACGGAAAGAAATGAGAGAAAACCTGTTTTCGATACCTGCTACCCTTTATACCCAAGCATTCGATGTTATGTTAGTGTATCGTACTCTGCAAATTTCTCAAAGCAACTATTTAGACTCATCCTTCACACGACTATATCACCACTTTTACAGTAAAAGATAAAGACTTCAGAAGTATATTTAAGATTACAGGTTGCACTTGAAATATATTTAGATTTTAAAAGCTATAAATAACATAGTGAATCAACGAATGAAGATACATAATATTATATACATGTTTCTTTAAAACTAAACATATGAAAAAAATAGTGAAACATTCAACAATATGTTAATTGGTTTATCTAAAACGTGACATTATTATTGCAAAACCGAACGATCATTAGTAGAACATCGCAGTAAATTATATTTACGAGTATATATATTGTACAATAAAAAAGCTGAATTAGAGAAAATGTATACAAAAATAACATAAATTTATAGAGAGGTGCTAAAAATAGGTGATAATGTTTTAAGGAAGAATAAAAGTAAATGTTTTTATTAAATATTCAGATTGTGCGAAGAAAAATAATATATCCGTTATAGTAAACAATGGTTTCCTTTCATAATTAACAGTCTCGAACCAGTGAAGCCTGAATATAAATATTTATTCTGTGTTGAATAAATAAAAATTCCTTTCTTAATATTTTTTTAATTTCTTACACGGAATTTTATTATAAGCTTCCGTTTGAAAGTTAATTAATGAATTATATTTTTATATTCATTATAAATAGGTTAATCGTGCGACATTTTTAAGGATGCGACATAACTCCTCATCCAATATTTTGAAAACAAGATCTTATCACAGTTCGTGTAATAACGATTCAGAATAAGAGCAATAAAAATATCCGTAGCAGAATCAATGTAATCGACATATGTGGCAGGATTGCACGCTTAATGTGACAATTCATTGACCACGTTAGTCAACGCGCCGATAGCCTTTACATTATTAAAGATGTGGGGATATTCAGTTAGGAATTCACAATGCGATCTGGAATACTGCGTTAATTGTATGTTTTTAACAATGTGAGAGAGTAGCATCTCAATATTCATATCCGTATCTTGCGGGTGTAAATAAATTATAGAAATAGAATGGATTATCCCATCTAAATTTCAGTTTTCATTTTGTGATTCTTTAAGACCAAGCCCTAATTAGGATTAACTACACAGTTCTCTTACATAGCAACAGTGGATAGTCAAACACATATACTAGTCGACTGGCGATGGTATTACTTAAGGCAAAGTAGGTGCTTTTATCAGAATAAAATTTGTTTTAAATAATTTATTAAAGAAAGGGATTAAAAAGTTGCTTTGGATTTTCGTAGCAAACGAGGAACTCGATTAAAACTGTAATGAATGTTCCATGCTTAAATTATAGAAGGTTCTTCCAGTATAGGAATCTCAACCATAAGATTTTTTATTTATTTCAAATTCATGACAAATAAACATATTGGGATGAAATATTAACAATCGAACAAATTTGGCATTCCCAGATATAAAAGCGTTATTCTGTACGAAAATATTTTCCATTCAATTTCTACATGCATTTTCACATTTAATCCTATTGGTCCGATAACAAAAGTTACATCAACAAAGAGCATATGAAACGACAGAATGTATGCGGTTGGGTCCGAGGAAATTTTCGTGAAATTCCAATGAAGTTGCAATTGTGAAGACTGGAATCTGCGACATGATTGGGGTCACAGTGAATACTTTGGATTCAAAAACTTATTTGGAAACACTAACGAGGTTACGAACTGATTCTTTTCGACTGTCTTTCTATTCTTTGTGTGTCTCAGGACTAAAGTAATATTTGTAGAATTTTTACTCTATGCATTAATTTCAAAGGTTCACAACTTTTATGAAAATCTATTCATAGGATAAATGAAGTTCTTCTTTGATTATGATAAAATTATTTTAAAAGGAGAGTTAATTAAAAGGTTTCAGTAGAGTTAGTCAAAAATTACAGATTGTTAAGCTTAAGTGTTGGATAATAACCACATAAATATACAATAAATTGACGTATAAAAAAGGAAAACTTAATTGTTATTAATATTGTAATATTTTTATACCAATTTATTCAAAATAATAGAAGAATTTCTATGTTTTGATGTTTTTTTTAATTTTTTCTTAATTGATATATAAAAAACTAAAATTTTGATATGGTTTATAAAACATAACATTTTATGATTTAGAAAACACCAGCGAGGCAAATTGTTCAAGTGGAAGTCAGATTTTAATAATTTTAATAACTGGCAAAATTATGGTATACACAACATTATTATGTAATATAAATGTATTACAAAAGATAATTCTCATGTTATTACAAACCCAATACAATTTTTGACGCCCTGTAACATAATTACTATATTAAATAATAATAAAAATAAATAAAACCTTAGGAGATGATGTTACCGGAATCCATATCTGATAATTGGAATAGAAATCAAACGTTTAAATACTCCTAATTCTTGATACAATATTTCTCTTTGTAAAAATAAAATTCTTTTTCTACAAAGAAACAAAAATGTATAGGTATATCAGATTTATTACACATTCGTTGATTTTAAAGAGAGAGAGAGACGCCAGCCTCGCTGACGTTACAAATGTCACTTCTTCAAGTACGGTCCATGATATTTTAAAATGAAACTTCAATTGATCTTAATGCTCCTGTATTTCTCAAAGATTCTGCATAATAACATACTTCAATGATACACACTCACTGAACTCTGAATTATGAGTATCAATTCTGAATTCTCAAATCTGCCGTCATGCATCCAGACGTCATATTTATAACAAGATTCAAACATAGTTCTATTCTCTTTTGATTTCGTTTTACTTTTAACAATAATCATAAATACTAATGAGGTTTAATAAGAATTCATAACAGCCTCAAATTATTTTCAAGTCGCATCCGTTATTAAAGCTGGTAGCGCCGATATATATAATATTTACATTATATTTTTAGTTTCACGTAAAGGTAAAATCCTCCTACAAACAAAAGTAATTTTTGTTATCATACACAATATACGATATAATTTGGTACGTACAATGGTACCCGCATTATTACATTACATAGCCGGGTATCAGTATTTGGCTAGCATCCAAAGTAATGAGCGGTAACTGAAACGTATATTATTTTAACCAAATAACTTAAAAACATGGAACATTATATAGCTACCACTTAAAAAAAAATAGGAATTATTTGTGGCTCACATATGATAAATATTTTTTTATTAGAATATGTTTTTGTCTAAGAATAATATCAAATTTAGAAT